TTCAAAATACAGCACAGTAAATGCAAATGTTATTTTCACAAACATTATACATAGGCCTACACTATACCTGTATTAACGTCTACAGTTCAGCAGTTGCGAGATACAGTGAGTTAAAATTGTTTGATATTAGGATGTGGCGATTAACATTTATGAAAACGTCAATCCTAAGTTTTAAAATAAAAATAAGCACATTACCTTTGTACTGACATTTCTTATTTTTGAAGTTGATAAATGGCATTGATATTGCTTGATTGGGTCAAGTGTCCTATTATTATTTATAAATCATATTATAAACGATAATTAAAATATGTGTAACATTACTGAAATTATATATCAAATAACAATATAAATTATTGATGAATTTTTGACTGCTGGGCCTTTAGGCAACCTGTATAAAATCTTCTCTCTGTAACTGAAGAGCAATCTAGAACAAAGTACTGGGCCATTTTCTGAACACAATCCCTGCGCTGACTGCTTACTCTATCTGGAGAAAAAGGAAATATAAGAGATTAAAATCAATAGTACACAGGCTAGTACAGCTATCTAGACTGCCAAGGACTACTTTAATAGCTAAGCCTAATTAATGAATAGTGGGCTAGCATCGCACCCCCACCCGAACTGGGATGAGTAGTGAAATACAGGTCTCTTCAAACGGGACCTAGTCTAGACTTTGACTGGAATAGAGTTAAGAATGGCGTGGTATTTAGCATTTATGCAAATTTGAAAATCACCTAATATAACAACAATAAATCACATAATAACTAAGTTAAAAAATAATAATAACTCGTGGATATCGTATCGTACATGTCTTCTACAAACATGATTTAAACTACGGCGGTGTACCCCACGCCTTGGCCTACGATCGGAAAATTTTAAAATGCTAATTTTTATAACTTATGATTCGAAAATAAAGGTGAACTTACGATAGGCCTATATGATAAATAGATTATTTATTTTCAGTGCCTTTCCGGAATTAAATGGGGAAATGCAATATAAGTTACAGAAATGCGTTAAACTTGCCGGTTTACTACAGAATTGAGAACATCGGCGATCGCCCAAAAATGTCAGATGGGTGTCCTTCCACACCCGCCACCACGAAAAATGGACAGGAAAAAAACAAGTTTTCTTTATTTTTATTACGGCAAAAGCTGCCAAATAATCTTCAAAAATAAGATACTGTATGTACATTTCTTCCTAATCATATTAACTTAAAGCATTTAACCATCGCATTACTACACAATTTACATTCACCAATATTATTTTTATTTTCTTCTTCTGAATGTTTTTGGCAAAACTATTTGAAAACAAAATTGTATTCACATTTTTTTTTCCCACCCTCCTCTGACGATCTTAAAAAAATAAGTTGCCAGTTGCATACAGTAGGTGTGGGGAGGGCGATTACATCTTAACACATTAGTATGGTCTGGTTCTATCTTCAAGTTACAACTCTGAATTTACACTGGTCAAGGCTATAGCTAATTAGAGGAAGCTGGCAGGGTATATGTGGAATATTCAAGGACAACCAAGCAACTGAATATACAAACTCCATTTAGTGTCACCTGTCCACTGATACTTTGATCTTCTGATCGAACCCTGGTCACTACTCCTTTGTTTGATTATCAGGAGTATGACTACTATGAGAGTACTAGAAAATAATAACATATTAACAATTCCTGTGTCCACAAACCACAAAACCATGTAAATGCACAAAAAAAAGGTTGTTGCTTTTTAGGCCAAAAAAAAAAAGAAGTAGTCTCTCGTCCTAATATTTTGAAAAAAAAAATGGGGCACTTTAAAAAAAAATCTGAGATGGCAAATCCAAGATAGTCGATGAGGAAAAGCTAAGTACTTTCTCACTTTTATCAAGTAGACACATTGAAAGCAAATAAAAGAAGCACTAGACATGATTCATACTAAATAAATCCCCAACCACGAACAATCGAGAGAGGAATTTTACTGATGCGAGTTAGCCAGATTTTAAAAAATAAAAAAAATATATATATATTTTTGATGAGGCAGAGAAAAGGGATGGGCGAGGGAGGGGATGAGAAACTAGTATTTTTTTTTATTTGGCCTTAAATTTAAAACTCAACATAAACCATATGGTAGACATTTTTTGCTTTTAATACAGGCACTGTTTCATTATCATGCTCCCACAGTACTCCACGCTAATAAGGCTCTAACACGCTTTAATGTGTTTGTAGACGAAGTCACATCGCAACCTTGGCACATTAATGTCTGATCAGGTGAGTTGCGGTCTTCATCATCATAGATTGATGATGAAGATGAAGAATCTGGGAAAGTGCATCTACTGTAGTGGAGAGCCTCAGACGCACTCTAAATAACCACTTTCTACCTAGCGACCATAACCCTCCATCACTTTCCAAATCGGCTATGGAGCAGATTATTCATGCCTTTGTTACATCTCGCTTTGATACATGTATGGACAATTCTCTCCATTTCTGGAATTTCAAAATCACTTATTCATCGCAGCTGCCCGAGTCATAAGTGGCACACGTCACACCTGTACTTCAGCAACTTCATTAGCTTCGGACTTCCAAAAGAATTACTTTTTATTATCAGTGAACTCTAATAGCCCAAAAACTCTTACACAGTCTTCGCTTCAGTGGAAATCACTGCTTATCGAATAACATTCTTTTTATCATGTGGTGATCGATCATTTTCTGTAGCTGCTCCCAAACTCTGGCGCAGGCTACCAAATTCCCTTTGGTCCATTAGAACTTCACCAGCCTTCAAAAGTGCATCAAGACCTATCTGATGAAGTAGCCATCTGACATTTCTGGCTTTGTTTCTCTTAATTTCAAGTTTGTTGTTTCTTTAGTTTTTGGCAGGATAGTAATGTAATATAGTTAGACTTATATAGCACTTTATACCGAAATGGTCTCCATGCACTCTTATTGTGGACTAGCTGTTACAGCAACTTGCTTCTCCCCTCAGGGTACTCTACTCTAAAAATGCACTGGGTTCTTTTAAGTACACACGAGCCAAAGTGTACCTACAGTTTATAGTGCACACGAGCCAATGTATACAATTTGAGTGTATGGTTTTTATTCTACTGAAGAAACTCCCTTTCAGGTATGTGAAATTCTCAGTATTAAAAAATTCTATAAAACTATATCAACATTATAGTTGCTGGTTTTGTCCTTTTTTGCTTTAAATATTTGCATTAAAATTACTAGACCACTTTAAAAACAAATGCTTCCACCACTAAAGTGTTTCTCAATAAACAGCCAGAATAGTTAAGAATTACTACTGATGTTGTGGGAGGTGTGACCTGTCTTTCATTTAAAAAAAAAAAAAAAAATCATTCCTTTATTGCCGCTTGCAAGCTTTATGGCTTCAAGTTAAATTCATTTTCTCAGAAAATTTGCAGGACTGACAGAGTTGCTGTTTGTCTAGATTTCCTTATTGGACCATTTTTTTCTTTTCACACCTTGTACGACTAAGACTGAATGTAATATTTACCTTAGTTCACTCTTGTGACGTACTATAGTATTTATCAACCATCACTTGCACCAACTGCTAATTTTACTCTGAATTTACCACTTATTATTAATCAATACCAAATGAATTACATTAATATTTATTAATTTTTTTATTTGGAACAATAAACTTATAAAAATAGCATTCCTGGTGAAATATATTCAGATTGATAATACTAATTTACATGTACTATTCAGTTTCTCAACATTATCGATTCTCGCAAATGACACTCAATAAAGTCCAATTACAAATAAGATATCATATTAATAATAGCCATAATAATATATTAATAAATAACCATAATGAAATGCAAGAACCCATTCAACACTGGTTGTATAGTCAATTAGGTAAATTACACAAACTAGAGGGTGTACATGCTTCGTTCCCTTATTCTCTAGTATGTGAATGTCGTGATTAGCTCCAATAAAAAGAACAAAAAATGACCACTAAAAGAAGATAGTTTACTTATTACTTGTATAGCGCCTTTCTTTTCAGTTGCAAAGCGCCGTAAGCAACTCTCCACAATACAAGTAAGTCAAAAGCATCCCCCCCCCCCCCCCCCCCAGCTTGCATAGAACCAAACCCAAGCAAAGTGTGTTAACTTAACAATAAAGCAGTAGTAAAATAGAAAACAAACAAAACAATAAATGAATACGATCTAAGCAAGGTGGATTTGGGATTTGGATTTATTCGGTGTAAACACCAAGGATAGCCCACGAAAGTCTAGAAGAAGACTTATTTCCAGTGGGGTCCTTCTGGTGGTGATTGGACAGTACACCGGGAGACAATCCCCTACTCTTTCCCGAAGAGTGTACTGTGTTCTTTAACGTGCACATGGGCCATAAATGCACACGGGACCAACGGCTTAAACGTCTCATCCGAAAGACGGTGCGCTATGTAACTTGTATTTCAGCCCTCTAGCTGAAACACAGGAGAGGCAGCGATGGGAAATGAACCGGGGATCTAGAGATCTTCATGGTTCAGCGCACACATAGTGGCTACCACCAGATTAGCCGACTGAGCTAAGCTGCAAGGTGAGATGAACTATTGAAAAAGGTGTGTTTTTAGATGGGCTTTGAACTGCCTAAGCAAATCACAAGAACTGGGCAGCAATTGAAGGGAATGAATTGTCACCACATACGTTTATGGTAGACCAGTTGAACAAGTGGGATGGAGTTAGAAGATCTTGTTAAGCACACATGGGTATGTATTGTTAAGTAATTAGTAAAAATACACAAAGGGCAGATGCCAGAAAGTGATCATGTTTTATGA